GAAGAACATAAGGTTTAGCAAAGATTAGATCTTGTAAAGCCTTCTTGTATGCAACGTAAACCAAAGGGCTTATTCGAATTACTTTTCAACCCAGGACCACTGGCAAAGCTTGCACCCCTTTTAAGAAAGAATAAACAACGCATAATTTTATAATAGCTGTTTAGAGTATACACAGCCCTCAATGTCACAGCAAAGGATTCTCTAGGAACTGGGCCTATGTAATACCAAGCCCTAGGTCAGACATCATTTATCCTTAAGTGGACAAATATGATTTTTTTTTTAGCAAAGCTATCCTGTTGTTTTTCATGCTATATGGAACTAATCTCGGGTCTATTTCTAACTGATTTGGAAATCATGAAACAGCTGCAAATCGTATGGCTCTTCCTAACTCAAACCCTTTTTGGAAATTTATAGAATTTATGCTTCTGGGAGTCTGGAACATTTGTTTACTGTTTTGATTAAAATGGATAAGAAAGAAATAACTGAGAGGTATAACATATGTAAGCATGGCATGATTAAATCACATGGCACAATTGAGTTCCCTGATTTTATAAAGGATGAACCTTTTTAGACAATTATTGTAGCTGCACTTTTGGTGGGTCACCATCATTATTCTAGATGCTCCTAGTCTTCGTCATTTATTTGAACCCTTCACAAAATGTTTTGTTCGGTTTAGCCTAGGCTGGCTAGGTAACAAGTTCACAGAGTGGCAGAATAAGCAGTATCGTCCTCGGACGAGCACTGGCAGTTCGTACTTGGAATTCAGAGCTGGCTCTGCTTTTCATGGCATGACCTTGAGCTCGTCCCCTGACCTGCTCAGTAACAAGGCTGGACACCTCACTTCCAAGGACCTTTCGGCTCTCACAGCCCCTTTGAGTGACTCACCCGCTGCCTGGGCATGAAAGCCTGAGGGGACAGTTTGGTTTCCAGTTGAAAAGCCTGAGATAGGGCAGCAGCAGCATCATTATAAGAGCTGTGCCAGGGGAAGCACCTCAACCATCTGACAGGCAAAGCAAGCAGAGGAAGCATGTCTGGGAAAGGATACACAGAACACTGAAGAGAAATAGCATCCTGCTTTCCCAGGCGATAGCAGAAAGTCAGACTCCTACCTTTACAAAAAGACCCAAGGTCGCCATGAGTCTGTTCTTCTTGGTCTTACAGGTTGTCACTTCTTTACATGGACCTTATTTCTGGGACAATTAAGAACCTTATCTCAGAAATCAATAATACATAAATACACGCTTGTTTTACTCATTCTTTTTGTATTCTGCCTTTGATTTTAGAAAACATCTATGGGTAATTTATACTCATTTATAAAGTGACCATTTGTAATGTTGGTGCTTTATGATCTGGGTCTACATAGGCACCCTCCTGCCTCCACACACACAAAAACATCAGAAGCACAAGTTTTGACTCAGCAAAACAGCCCTTCTACACATTTCCCTCACTCTCCTGCTCGCCTTCAGCCAAGTTGAGCTCCCATTAACTTCTGGTTCCCTGCTAATTGTTTTAATTTTAACATTCGTTTTTATTATAACTAGAGGTTGATGCCTTGGTGATCTCAAGCCCAAAGGATCTGTATGTCTTCTACATTCTCCAAAAGGCAGGATTCTAAAAAATGACTTGTATAAAGAATTCTGCTTCTAGATTTCATACAGGCTTTAAATTGGGAACCTCCTTTCTTACTGTCTGAGCCAGTTACAATAATCAGTTATTTGAGATGAAATAACTTATAAATCATACATTCCAATATATAGCCCCTTTTACTTTTCCTCCTTTTCCTTCCTTCCTCCCTTCTTCCCTCTCTTCCTCTCTCTGTTCTTTCCTTCCTTCCTTCCTTCCTTCCTTCCTTCTGTCTTTCCTCCCTCCCTCCCTCCCTCCCTCCCTCCTTTCCTTCAGCAGTGCATTCCTCTCCTTCTTCCTTCAGAGAAGGAAACTGCAAGCTAGAGAGGTTAGGTGATGTAGGTGAGGTGTTG